TTCTTGAAAATGATACGAAAACTGACTTAGGAATGACTTAATTTTACAAAGGCAAGACGCTTACGACGTTGAGATGGCCACCGTAAGCTTAGCCATTGAATTTGGTGAGTAAACATAAGGTTGTCATTTTATCGGATAATATAGTCCATAATTATCGATTTTACCCTCTTCTAGCTGCAAATAATGACAAAACGGCAAACTTTAACACATTGCTCCTTCACGCGCTGAGTCAAATGCGCAAGGTATTGGGACTGGAATTCGTGGGGTATTTGTTATAACACGTCACTATAGTGGTATTAACTTAATTGATAATATACTTACTGCCTTAACTTAAATTCTCAGAGAAATACCTATTGCCGCTTATAATTCATTATTTCTTGTGCGAATTTTCTCAAAGCACTTTGTTGGGAATATGGTACATGACGAAATTCATTGTCTATTTGAAGGTTTGTATCTAAATAATATGTATAAGTGTATGGGTATGAATTAAATTAAAAAAATTTGATGTCATTAATAAATTAATATAGGTAGTGTTTCAGGGACTGATAATTTATCACCGGAAGAATGCAGATGGGCTTCAGAAGAGCTTGTTCCAAACAATCTCGTAATTGATCCAATGGTTCTATATGATTCAAGACCCAAAGCCGAACAATTATTAGGTGGATTGTTAACTGTTATACTAGAAGTGGATCCAATGTAGGGCTAGTTATTTCTTATGATGAGGTTTTTTTTGTGTTAATCTGTAATGACGATTTATTGGACTTTGAAGATCAAATGCATCCACCTACGAGTATTATCAAGAATGTTTGGACACGCTCTTGGTACTGTTTTCCACTCAAATACACCAATCATCACCCGGTAAAATTAACAGCAACTATTTTTTGAATATTTTTTTAATTCGGTTCAGGTATGAGAATTTTAAATCATCTTTTCACTGAATAATCTCTTATAAATCATTATGAGTATGATTTTAATATAGTTTTCAAATGTACACAGTCATTTGAGTGATGAGCTAACGAGGCGGTTAATGACGAATTTTATCGAACAGAAACCTCCACCACCTTCTTCGACAAGTACGAAAATTATTATTCGCGTAAAATGCTTCACATTCACTTCCCATCAAAACTAAGATAAAATAGACTAAAAAAATAAATAATCTTTTTATTTTCTTAATTACTGATTCATCACTTTTTTATAATGATAGGTGTTGTGCATAATGCATATTACTATCTTTTTCCCACCAGATCATCCGCTTTTCTGCCTTCTGATCCTCCGCCAGTAGCTGAAAGGAGTTTGTTACTATTACTTTTGCTCGCGGCTCAATGGAAAGTGCCAGGTCAAAATAACAATCGATTTCGAAAGGGAATTAAGTCGTTAAAAGATGAGACTGCAAAAGGTTATTTCGTTATTTCCGGTGTTATAGATTGAATTTACGTTATTTACGTCTAAAAAATAAAAGTAATTATAAAATAAAATAAACCTTTTTATTATTATATTTAGCATCAGGAGATTTCGATATGGTTATATCATTTCGTATTCTATACCAACTGATTTGCCGGTAAGTCGATGAAGTAGATTTTCGATGTATTTAAAAAATTATGTATTTCTTGATTCTTGATTATCTTTATGATAGTCAGCTACCTAATGAAGAGCTTTGCTTGATGCTATATTTGTTGATGGTCGAGAATGAGGATTTCAGGGTTTACGTGCTGTCACGGTTAGATCCGGAAATTCTTGTAGGTATTCAAGTTATAATGGCATGAATATCTAATTGGATCTTTATCTATTATCATTCTTATACCATTCTTCGTTATCATTTATTTATTGGCAAAAAAAATAGTTACTCCAAATATTACGATTAATTTATGATGGAGTAGATGGAAAAGCCAATTATTCTCAAATGTATATCCTACTTACCATACTTTTATTATTCAGTCAAGACGAAGTATTTAACGAAAATATTCAAAAGATTGTAAGCACTTTCGTGTGAACTGTGCACTTTTTTATAAAAACGTACATTTTTTTCCCTAATTTCTTAAACCTTTTAAATTACAGACCATATCATACCAGCCATGGTTTACAGAACGTTTGTTAAAGTCCATATCGTTAGGCGGTCTTACATATCTAGTTTTAATACGCACTGTGCAATATAATCTTAGTTCACATCGTGTAAGTTCGTCTTTTCTGGGAGATCTAAAATATGATACACATTATTTAGTCGTTTATATTTGATACTAACCTTTCTTACTCTTACTTATTAGGATGCATATTTTCACGTCATTTGTCTAGCGACCTTGGCAAACTTGGGAAATAGTATTCAGGATATCCATCCATATGTGGCACAACGTCTTATTAAGTAATAATTTTCAACTTTTTCACTATCAATTTTTTTATGTAATTAATCATTAATTTTCGTGTGACAGCCTGTTTGATATTGTAGCAAAGAGATATCAGAAATTGCAGAAAAGGGTATGTCAAGAAGGCGAAGATGAAATGGTAATTCTTGGAAAGATTCCTTTTGTGTATCCAATTTTTATTGAACTTTTTTTAAATTATATTATTTAATGGGCAGACCGACGACGTTTCTATATACGGTGACCTTGTTTGCCTGGTGTTGGAAATAATAAATTCCGTGCTATCTCGAAAGCTTAATTCGAATCTTGAATTGATTTATTCACTACTCCATAAAAAAGATCTTTTTGCTCATTTTCAGTCGCATCCAAGGTTTTCGGAATTAATTTCTAATATCGATAATGTAAGTTATGTGACTGAAAAATTGAAGTTACCATTTTGTTAATTTCGTTATATTCCTTTTTATCCAAGTTTTAACTTTTTTTAAAACAATTAGGTTATAAGTTATTTTCATGCAAGAATTTCTGAATCAAATTTGAAGTCTCCTTCAGCCGAGGAAGTGTCCGAGTTAATAGAAACTGCCGCAAGAACTTGGCCTCCCGGTCGACTCAAAGTTGTATTTCGATCAAAATAATTCTTTCATCTTATACAGCATTAAATTTCTCATCATTGATGTCCCATATCACGTAGGAATTTCCTGACCTTAAGTTTCGATATGAAGAAGAAGCAGATTCGCAAGAATTTTTTTGTCCTTATGTATGGGCACTTATATATCGTCACACTTGGATTTATTGGGATGAGGACAAAATGCATATTTTACGTGATTATATAATGGTAGGTTTTTTTATTTGTCTCTAATAATGATTTTACGAAACTATTCTGTTAACCTTATGTTTGTGGCAAAATTTAGTACGAGAAGTTGGATGAAACTGCGACATAATTTTAGAATGTTAAAATATTCGATAATTTTAATAAATACATAAAGATTAATGCATACTATTTCACTGTAGAATTATTGTATTGGATAGTGGCAGTTTTCTTGCACTTCTGCATACTACCGTTATAAGTACCTTTTTAAATGCCTTCTTGTTCACTGATTTTTAAATGTGATTTATGATTTTTCGGATGCAATAAGGGTAAACAGAATAATCAGTTTGACCAGAATACATTTTTTATTCATTGATCATCATCATAACGTGGACGACGCTCCCAGCTTCCATCCCGACCACCACCATATCTGCCACCGCCAAATCCACCACCACGTGCACCACCACGTGCGCCACCACGTGATCCATCATACGTGTTAGTGTTAGGCCCGCGGGCTTCCGCCACTCTCAGCTCTCTGCCCTCGAATAAAATACCGTTAAGTCCTTCCATAGCTTTAGTAGCGTCTTCCTCTTGAGAGAATTCGATAAAGCCGTAACCGCGACTTCTGCCTTCATAATCTCTTGGCATACGAACGGACTCAACTTTGCCAAATCTAGAACCTAGTTCTTCGAGTCCTTGTTCGGTAGAATTGTATGAGACGTTTGATACATATATTGTTTTGCTAGCCAGTCCTCGACGCAAAAGCGGATTAGCAACATGCGTGAAGAGACTCGACCTAGTTATAACGCCGGAAAATATTTTAAACATTGTATAAGTTTTTTTTTTTTTTTGTAGTTTTATATTTCGCGTTTTTTTTTTTCTAAAAGGCGAGGGCAAAAAAAATTTTTTTATTGAAAATCTGATTTTATGCTATACGTTTGATTTGTTAATTGAAGTTTCACGTGATGTAAAATTTCAGGTTAAAAGTCCTGTCCAAGCTATTTTTAGGTTCTGGAAATGTTTATTTAATTATTTACAAGAAAATAATTACAATATATAAAATATGCACTAATTTTATTATAAAGAAAAAAACGGTAAAAATTATTTATAAAATTTAAATATAAATTATTATTATTATTTTTTGTAAATAAATATTATTTCTTTATTTAATTTATATAATAAAATTAAGATTTTATTGAAATAAATTATAATAATAAACTATAAACAATAAACTCAAATCCTTTTAAAAATAAAAAATAATAATAATAATTTATTTATATTAAGATTATATCTAAAAATCAAGAATTAATAACAAATATTCAAATATTAATTTGGTTTATATATAAAAGTCTTATATTATTTATTTTAATTTTAATAATTAAATAAACATATATCAGGAAATTTTTGAACAAAGATTTTCCAAGATCTTCAAGTATAGATCTCCAGAGATTCTCCGTTGTTATTAAAAGACTTTAGAGCAAAAATTTATATATTAATCTTTGAAGATTTTTGATTTTTTTTTAATAATAATATATTATATTTATATTTGTGTATTTATTATAATTTATTTAAAATGTTTAATTAGCTTATAAAATTATTTTTATTATTATATAATTTTTATTATTACATAATTCTTATTTACATTTATTTATTTGTTTAAATCTTTACTCATTGCCAAAGTTTTTCTTTCTAATTCTCTATTTTTCAATAGTAGTTCCAGATTGTTCTTAGTATTTTCAAAGTTCTTCAAAGATTTTTCTATAATAATAATTTATAAATCAATTATTTTTTTATCTTTGCTATTTGAATTTTCTTCTTCAAATCCAAGTCTTTTTTTAATTCTTTCCTAAAAATATTATTAATAATAATTTATAATACTTTAAAAATTTTTAATACTTATCTTATTTTTTTATACTTTGTTTTTAATTAATATTTTATTTATCAAAATACTTTTATTATTTGAATCAAGAACTGTTTGACATATTGCAATAGTGAATGTCACTTATTTCTCAAAAGCATTTATCTCTCTTTGGCCAGGCTTTTTCAAGAATATGGACTATCATACTTTGTGTCTTTCCTCTTGGATATTTGTGAAAAATTTCAAAATATTTGATAGTCTTTTGAAATTATTTCTAGACCAAAATATCAGTGGTAATTATATTGATTATATTTGTATTTATTATATCCAAATATCTTTTACCAAAAACTAAAAATATAGTATCATGAACTTTTGATACTATAGTTTCACAAAATTATTAATACTATTTTATAAATTTTTAAAGCAATAAAATATTAAATAATTGAAAAACTAAAGTTATTAATATTTATAAGAATTATTATTTAATGAATATACTTTTCATATGTTTTTTAGTATTTTCTTATAAGATCTTTGTAAAACTCTGAATGTTTTTACTAAAAAAATTTTTTGGTTATTTGACAAAAATCTTTATAATCTAGATATATTTTTTTAAAAAATATTTCTTTTGTGATACTCTTAACTATATGTTATTTAAATAAAATATAAGTTTTTAAAAACTTTTAAAAAATTCAAAATAAACTTGATCTCAATGAAATTATATTTGATTATTAAATATTGACTTGCATGAATTTCATTTTTTAGGTAGATAATCTAATCCTCTATAATTTTTTGTCATTTTAATAATTGATTGACTTTTTAAAAAAGCCTTCATGAAACTTTGTAATTCTTTTAATATTTTTATTAGGGATTAAATATAGAAGTTATTATTTATTTTAAATTATAACAAATTTTTAAATATACCTGAAGTTTCTTCAAATATTTTCTATACTAATATATCAAAAGAAGATTCAAAAATATATTCAGGAAATTTTAATCACTTTCAAAATATTTTTGTTTTTATTTTGATAAAAGTCAAGAGTTTTTGTTCAGTAACTAGCCCTTGGATTTTTTGTCTTTTTAGAAAACTTCAAAGTATTTTCTTGACTCTTTTCTATTTCTTTTTTAGCAAAATCAAAAATAAGTTTTTGAAATATTTTATACACTTCTTGTTTTTTATTTAATATTAAAGAAAAAATAAAAACTTTAGAGACCTTATATAATACAAATTCCAAGAAATTATATTATATTATAACTGCAAACTTTTCTTTGTTACCTTTTAAAAATTACTTTATAAATATAAATTACAGTATTTAGTTATTATATAAAAATGAAATCATTTTATTTATATAATCATTACAACTTATAAATTAAATTTTTGATTGGTCAAAATTAATTAATATTTTATTGATTAATTTTATACATTTTTTAGATTTCTTCAAAGACTTTTAAAATAAATTACAAATGTCAATTTAGTTAATATATCTTTTCAAAACATTTCTCTTATACAAGACATGTTAACAAATGTATTTTAATTGTGAACTATAGTAACAAGTCTAATGAAGATTTAAATGAGTTAAAATTCTATTATTTCAAATAATATTGAAGATATATAGAGTGTTTCAGAAATATTTTATAATATTTTGCTTATAATATTTTATTTTATTAATTAATAGTCATTTACTTTTAGACTTTTGCAAAGGATTTAAATTCTTTTTAAAATAATTATCCTTTTAATAAAGATTTTTGTAATATTAATTTATTAAAAAATTCTTCAAATAGTTATAATTTTTTGAATTCTTTTAAAAATTTCTTTAATAAATTTTTCAATAAAGCATATATGAATTAATAATACTTGTTTTAAAAAATAAACTGAACACTTTAACAGGAAATGAAATAATTTTTTTTTTATAAACATTCTAATTTATTAATTAGTTCATTATCAAAAAATATTTAAAAAGAATATAAATTTATAAATAATATAAAACATCTGAATTTAAATTATTTTAAAACTTGTATATTATTACATAATAATATAGAATACTTCTTATTTCATTAGTCAATAATTAGTTGTATTAAAAATATTTTGAAAATTCCTAATATCTTTCAAAATAATTCAATAATTAAATTATTTTTTTTTTTTGAAAAGAGCAAATGGCTATTATGCTTTATTATATTTATTATACTTTTACTTGCAAAACAAGGTACAATATCAATAACATAATATACATCTCTCTTTGTTAGAAAGAATTTAATGCAAGGCTCTTATAAGAGGTCCAACCCCTATACTTTTTTAGCATTATTCAAGAAATACAGAAAAAAAGAAATTCAAAAATTTATATTATTACCTTGAATGGCATTTAACTACCTAGAAATAAATAAATACCTAATTACATGAAGATATTGCAGCCAATCTATACAGGTTGGTTTCCAAGTTATAATTAGAATTAACATGTCTGCTTTTCAAATATGGCTTAATGTATAGCAAGCAGAGTAATGTTGAAGGTGGTGAAAAGTAAATACCTTTTTGCATGAAGGCATTGCAGCCACTTTATAAAAGTTTGCCTCCAAGTCACAAAAAGAATTTGGTACACTCATGCTTCAAGTGTAACAAAAGTATTCTATGGATAAAGTTCATATTGATTTTTTTAATAGCATTAGAATCTAATCTTGTACAATAGACCTATATTGTTTGAGAAATAAGCAAGAAACTTCTATTGTTGTCACTAGCTCATTTTTGGGAGTAAATAGAATCTCTGGTTGTTATATATTACCTTACTAAGTTTTCCAATTATTAGCATAACATTTACAACTAATCTAGCTTATTGTTAGTTGCATTAGTATTAGTTATCATTTTACTCTAAATACTATAAGATGCAACTCTTTGGATACTTTCAAATAATAATAATTATATAGAAATTTCTTGGATATATCTAGTCTAACTGCTAATTAGTAAACAATATTGAGTTTAGTAATAATGACCATATCAATCTTTTAGAGGGAATAAACTATCTGTCTTTTTTCTGAGGAACTATGGAAGATAAAAAATTTTCTAAAGTCCACATTCTAAAAAAGATTATTGCTTCTTAATATAATTCTTGAAAAAAAGAAGTTGACTGGTCAAAGGAATGATGTTATGGAGATAAAGTTTTCAAAAGAGAGAAAGACCTAAAGAGAAAAACCTTCAGGAAAAAAAGAAAACCTAGCTTTGGCAGAAAAAAAAAGGTATATAGAAGAGAGAGGAGAAGATAAAGAAAGAAAAATAAAGAAATATAGAAAGAAAAGTATAAAAAAAAGGAAAAGGGAAGATGAAAAAAAGGAAACAACTCAAAAATTTCCTAAAAAGGAAATTTTCAAGCATAGAAATGGAAGTGAGAAAGAGTTTTTTTTTTAATAATTAAATTATTTTATTAAATATTTAATTTTTTTTACTTATAATTTATTTATTTATAAAATACATCAGTAAAATAAATAATGTTATATGTATCGATTAATAACACCCTAAATACATATCGATGATAATCCCCCTGCTAATTATTATCGATTTAGATAAAAATCGATATTGTTGACGTCTCTTCCGGCGAGTCTGTCGCTAATAGCAGTAGAAACTCATGTAACATCAGGTAGGTTTTTGGCTTTCTCTACTTGAGACATGTGATTTTGTTCAGCCAAGTTCTTTACTAATCACCTTTCCTTCTCTTTCTGTTGTTCATGCTTCCTTGATAAGTCTTACCACTTTCTCTCTTGTGGTCCCAGTCATTCTATCTCACGACAAGTACTGGATTAGATAAGTAATTTATATTTTTACTCTCTTTGGCAACGTTGATCGCATGTCCCTAATTAGAAATATTATTTTATTCTGTTTTTTTGGTATTGATCTTATTTTTCGTA